CCCTCTCACCAACTGCATCAAAGAGGAGTAGCTCTCCATCTGCTGTGGACCAGCAGCACCAGTCACCTGCTGCTTCTGAAGGGCCTCAAAGCACTGATGCACAGCCCATAACTCAGCCTGAAGGTGACCCCAGAGAGCCAGAGTTGGAAAACACCAGCCCGGACTCCGGGATGCTCGGCACAGCACCTCCAGTGAAGGCAAAGAAAAAGACCCCAGAGGATATTAAGTCAGAGGCTCTGGCAAAAGAAATTATCCACAAAGACAAGTCTCTGGCAGATATCCTGGATCCAGATTCCAAAATGAAGACTACCATGGACTTAATGGAAGGGATTTTCCCCAGTGGAACCAGCTTGCTGAAGGAGAACAACATGAAGAGGAAGATGTCACAGAAGCAAGTCAGCAGGACGGCCGTCAGGGAGGACACGTAAGCACTGCGGGATTGGGGTGAGGGCTGGCACAGCTCCCAGCTCCCTCACTTCTAAGGCTGACCTGTGCCCAGTGTGTCTGCATCTCTACAGGTGGGCTCTGGTGCAGAGCGAGTTTCACAGTTCCCAGCTGCAGGGCCAGGCAGGGCAGTTCCAAACACCCTTTGTAATGAGCTGGGCTGTGTGGAAAGCAATGCTGAGCTTGGTAACAGGGCAAGAGATGAACCAGCCCTGGAGATGTTACTTGATTTTGCTCTCTGGACCTTTGCAAGCTGAATCAATTCAGTCCAAAGTGCAGGAATAGATACAAGAGTAAAATCCAGATGAAAATGATGGCAGGCAGAAAGATAATGACAGGCCAAAATTTGGAAGGAGGCTTGAGGGCACCTACTTGCTGCAAGGTCAGCCCAAGTGCTCCAGTGTGGGGGTTTTTAAGATAGAAGTTGTCAAGTGGCCGCTGGAGAGCCATCCAGGAATCAGTTGCACTGCACAATTCCAGGTGAGATGGCCGGTCTGGCCACCTCCAGCCGAGCTGTGCTGACTGAGCCCCAGCAAGCTAAACCCTGTCCAGAGCTGTAACCAGTCACCTTTAAAGCCAGGGGCTGTGCTGGGCCGTGACAGCAGCTGACACGCGCCCTCCGGTGACAGCAATCCGCCTTGTCCTTGTGGGTAATAACACTGGGAAGGGACCAAACAGGCAGTGCTGGAAAACCATGAATCTAGGCATGGGGATAAGTCGGGCTCGGACTGAACTCCTCCTTTTTCTTCTCTGGGGTGTAGGAGAGAGGAAAAGGAAGCTCCTGTCACCCTGGTCACCTGTCCTGCTTATTACAGCGTTTCAGCCCCCAAAGCAGAGCTGCTAAATAAAATCAAGGACTTGCCAGAAGAAGTAGGTGAGGAAGAGGAGCTGCTGGACATCAATGAGAAGAAGGTAAATTCAGCACACACCACCATTTTCTGCTTACATTCCTGAAATAACAATAAGCCCTAAAGGGAAGTGCATTTCTATTTGGCAGCTCTCATGTTGCGTGGGAGCGTTTGGGCCACCAGTGAATCTTCATTAGAGTGACCCAAATTGAATGAAGAGGGTTGATCTGAGTACTCACTGCAAATTGAGTACAAATCTTGCACCACCCCGGGGCAGGCCTGTACCATGCCAAATGCTGGGTTTACAGGCTGTAAGCAGCAGTCCCAGTCCTGTAGCAAGGAAGGAAAAGGGAGAGGTGAAACAGCTTGAGCAAGGCCAGCTCAGGTTGGAAACAGGGACAGAGTCTAGCTAGTGACTGCACTGTCTGAGGGCAGGAGGTTTTCCCCCAGGATTTTCCTCTTCAGTGAAGCCATTTAACCTGCTGCCTGCACTCACTGCTCCCAAAGAAACACTGGCTTCTCTTTTTCTCCCACACTTTGTTGTTTCTCTAACCCACTGAAAGCCACGGGCACCTCAGTGGTTCGACCTCCACGTGATGGCTTGGGAGGGAAGAGAGCAGGGCAGGAGGGGAGGAAACATTTCCCTCTCTTGTTGAGGTTACATTTCACTGTGGAACAGCCCCTCCAGTTCTCACTGGAGGTTTCTGTGCTCTGCCTTCCAGGGCTTTTGCAGGGCCTTCTAATTTGCCCCTGTGGTTGTCTCACATTAGTTCCTTGGTAATTACAGACATGTTGCCTAGCTCCCAAATCCCAAGGAGCCACAGGGATTGGGAGTGACTAAACAAGATGAAGATGCTGCGTCTAACAGGCTTGCAAGTAGCTGTGAGCCTGCCATGGAGGGCAAGTCCCAGGCCTTAAAGGTTACATTTGCATGGAAAACCAGAAACAGATGGGAGTGATTAGGCCCAGGTAGCACGATCTGCCTGGTGTGTTTGCACATGGTCTGTGTGCAAGAACATTTGCACAAGGGTTACCTGAGAAGCAGCTGCTCTGGGAGGTCATGTGGCTAAACCAAGCTCATTTGCACTGTTAAGCATACAAAGGTTGGTTGGCATTTGGGATTGCAGGAGAGTCACTGATTAATCAACACAGAAGTATTTTGCAGGCCCCTCCAACTCCCCTGCCTTCAGAACAAAGGTTCATCACTCCCAGCAGTCCCTGCCTCCTGCTTTGGAGGGCAAATCTTCTGCAGCAAGGAGGAACAGCATCATAGCCCCTGGAAAGGACAAGCGTTAGGCTTTGCCTCTGGGTACTGCTGAAGGGAGAATCCACAGAAAGGCATTTCTTTTGATTCACTACCACCTTTGCTCCCTCTCCCTCTGAACTACCCTGCACCAATGGAGTGACTTAGTGGTCATTCTGGGTGGCTGGTGTTTATTTTAAGGGAATATTCCTCACCTTTTGTTCAGTCTCTGCATGTGTGTGGCAGCTGAGAGCAGGCTGTAGTGCAGTCACAGAATGAAGCACACCAAGTGTTCCATCTAGTGGTGCCTGGCCGTACACTGCCATGTGCTTCCCACTGCCAGCCCAGCCTTGGGACCCCACTGAGAGACCACCCTGGGCACCAGGGCCAGCTCAGTGATCCCCCCTGCCTCACCAGTGTTTGAAGATCGCTCCTCCTCTGGAGCAGACTGCCTCCTGCCTGCAGTGACACTCAGTTTGGATGGAAACAGGACTGGAGAGAATATTTTCACAGCAGATTAACACACAGGTAACGGGGCCTCAGCAGTGCACAAGCTGGAGACACAATCTTCACCCCTTGTAGGAAGAGCTTTTCCTGCTCACAGTTCTGAGTAAATGGAAGCAAGAATGGCAAGCCCCAGGCCACAGACATGCTTTTGCATATGTCTTTCCACTAAATCCTAACAGAAATTAGGATCTCGGGCACTTGTGCAGCAGTGCTGTTTGTGGAGTAACCGAAGCCCAGGGGCCTCCTTTTCTTTGGCAGGGAAATAGATGCATTTTTCTCAAAATGTGTTTGTGCTCTGTGTCTTTGCTCAGACACTGAGTAAACTTGGAGCATTGTTGGTGTAAACTCTTGATTGATGTCTCTGTGTGGGAGGCAGTTGTTTTGTACCATTCAAGACGTTTCAGGCTGGGGCAGGGAGTGGAGAACATGCTGGAGATGTGACTGCAGCTCTTTTCGCTTGGAGGTTTTAAAGAACATTACATGTTTCAGCTGTAGGTAGCTGGGTATCAGGACACGGTACACCAAATCTGAGACCTCTTCTATAAATGTTCAAGGAGCACACACATGTTCACACAACCTCAGCAGCTACCTGGATTATGTCCTAGATGAGGAATTCCACTGTTCTCTCCATTTCCTCCTTAATGTCTTCTTTGTCAGCTGTTGCTGACATGACCCTGCTCCTCAGGAACCGCAGCCCTATCCTCTTGTCGTCATCCATGTGATCAGGGTGATGGTAGCAATGTGTTTCCCCTCTGACAGGCTGAGCTCATCGGGAGCTTGACCCACAAACTGGAAATCCTGAAGGAAGCCAAGGAGGGCCTGCTCGCAGACATTAAGATGAATAACGCCCTCGGAGAGGAGGTGGAGCTGCTGATCAGCACTCTGTGCAAACCCAACGAGTTTGACAAGTACAAGATGTTCATTGGCGATCTGGATAAGGTGGTGAACCTCTTGCTCTCCCTCTCGGGACGCCTGGCCCGTGTGGAGAATGTCCTGAGTAGTCTGGGGGAAAATGCCAACAGTGAGGAGCGGGTAGGTATCCGCGGTGTCTGGCCTTGCTGGGATGTGGGGCAGCAGCAGCCATCACAACAGCATACCTTAGAAGGACTTCCAGGGGCTGCCAGGAAAGCAGCACAGGTGTCTTGGAGCTTATATATGAGCAGTAGCAAATGCAGGGTTTGTCCTTGGGAACCTCGATCCCGGTTTGTATAAATGTTGGGGATCCTGCGGCTTTTGTCTCGCCACAGAAGGGCCATGCTGGGGACAGCCTGTCTGTGCCCCATGGCTGGAGGAGAGCCTGGGTGGTGCTGTGCCTCCTGGAATAACCCACTCAGTGAAAGCCACGTTTTAACATTCTTTGGGTGGTTTTTGAGAGGACAAAGCCAGATTTTCCTGGTAGTTGTTGCTTTCAGGCGAGTTTTACTGACTTCCTTGGAGCACTTTCTGCCTCCCATTGACTAGAATTTTCAGAGTCCGATTCAGTGGGATTCACATTCAATCCATAATGAGGGATTCATCCTCCTCTCCGAGGCTCTTGAATCGTGTCTGGGAGCTTAGCAGCCAGCCCCAGAGCTGGTGCTGGGAGGAAGAAGGGGGGGAGCAGGGATTTCAGTGCTGCTGGTACTGAAGGGCTGTCTCTGGTGTGTGCAGAGCTCACTGAACGAGAAGAGGAAGCTGCTGGCTGGCCAGCACGAAGATGCCCGGGAACTCAAGGAAAACCTTGACCGTAGGGAACGGGTGGTCTTGGAGATCCTGGGCAACTACCTCTCCGAGGAGCAGCTCCAGGATTACCAGCACTTTGTGAAGATGAAGTCCGCGCTCCTCATCGAGCAGCGGGAGCTGGATGATAAAATCAAACTGGGCCAGGAGCAGCTCAAGTGCCTCATGGAAAGCCTCCCCACGGACTTCACACCCAGGGATGCAGCGGCAGCAGCTGCCCTGGCTGCAGCACTTGCTACCTCCGCGGGGGTCGGTGGTAAAACACCTCCAGCAGCCTCTTCCTCACTCTAACCTGTCCCAGGTGGACCTGGGACACAGTCCTGCTCCAGTCTGTTTAATCCAAGTAGCTGGCAGATGGTTCTCTACAAAGACAATGAAAGGAGACAGGTTTAAAACAAGATTTTAACGAAGGAAAAAAAAAATAGCAATAATAAAGGTTTTGTTTTCCTTTCATTCCACCTCTGCTTCCTGGAAACTTAAATCAATGTGGAGGGAAATCTCCTCCTGCCAGAGATGAGGAAGAGTCTCACAAGAATTAAACACATGACCTTTAATAAAACACATGACCTCCTCTCTTCCTGCCCTTTCCTGCCTACCTGGCACCTCATTAAATAATGAAGGATCTAAAAGAATGAAGCCTTAAAAATAAAACCAACCCATTATTGATATTTATATTTTTTAAAGAACAAGACAGAATGTGTAAGTTTTTGTACATACTCTAATCAGTTACTTGATTCGACTTTGTTCTGTATGTAGAAAAAGACATTTAATTTTGTATTTTGTGAAGACCTTAACAAAAAGAGGGAACCCCAAAGATAGTCATGCAGTAGCTTGGAACATCTCATCGTGGTTTTGTTGCTGTTGTTGTGGTTGTTTTTTAATATAATAAAGGGCTACCAGAAGCAGCTTCACCCTGTTTCAACACATGCTAAATATACCATTAAGTGGCCTTGTGAAAGAGATTTTGGCCAGGAAAATACTATCTTTCTTCTTCTGGATCTTGTGGAGTTTAAACATCTTTTATGGCAACCTGCATCTCAGGAATCCAAGTTAGCTGGAAGTAAGGAACTCACTGCAGGAACAGGGGGGGAATTCTGTCTTTGTTTTGGGTCATCAGAACTGCGATCGGTGCTTCTGTTGCAGCCTGAAGGGTTTGCCTGAGATGTGTCAGGGATCTCTGCTGACAGGATTTGTAGGCCTGGTTTTGTGAGGGGATGATGTACACTAGGACTTTATTTTCCCTACAGCAATACCTCATTTGTGTGAACATACTTCATCAGGAATTATTTTACAAGCTACAGGAGGCATTAACTTGAAATCCAATACTCTCTTCCTGCCCACGGAAACGATGCACGTGAAATGATAACAGTGCACCCAGGAGCTTGCTGTAAAGTATATTCCTTCTCACTTGGAACACTCTTCAGGCTCACGCAGCTTTTCACGACAACTTGAAGCAGCAGAACTGATTTTTATGCCTTCACAGCCAAATCAAAGCAAAACTAGAGGGAAAAATATCTTTGGGATCCCTCAGGAATAATTATGTGAGTGAATTTCAGGGAAACAGTGGGGGGAGCTGTTTCAATCCAATCAACACATTTAATTTGGCCTAAAAGAATTCCTACTCTCTACTGCAGCTTAGTTTATTAGATTTAAAAGCTGTTTTAATTCAGACTCTTTTTTTTGCAACCACCTTTCCATCCTACACTGTGCTCCCATTGTACATAGAAGCATCAGCTAATGAGGCAAGTGATAGTCGGTGACATTTTTATAACAGCTTATATTTTCAGGTGAAAATTGTGTTAAAGCCTGTATTTCTAGGGTAAGCACAGACTGTCTCTACCCAATTTTGTTCAAAAACCACTGCCCTAACTGCGAGGTTTGCTGAGGTTGGTAGCAGCACATCTTGGCACGCATTTTAAGGTAATTAAGCATTAGCCAATTCTGAAGATTTACTGCTCAGTACCTCTGGCAAAAAGGGGAACATATTCATTGCTCTTTATCCCACCTTGCTTTTCTCTTTTGGTTTTAAAACTAGAGGATAATGGAAACCTGTTTCTCAGAGTGAGGAAATGATTTCATGGGACATGGATACCAGGGACAGAAGTTTACACTTGTTGTCCAGTCCTTGTAACCTTACTGACACAAATCTGCATTTTGGGTCTGGCTATGTGAGGTTTTTAGATCTGAACCTGTATTTAAGTATCTGCAGGAGAGAAAGCCGGCACACCAAATACTGCAAGCACTGTTCTCAAACAGTTGGCATTTCTTTGATAAAAACAAGCATTATTTCTATCTGAAAACATCCATTTGGGATATTGCAGTGGAATGCCCCACTTCCCACCCTGCTGTGGGGACCTGCCTGGGTGGCCTCTGTCTGTAGGTGACAGTGAGGCTTCTTCCCGAGTCAGTGTACGGTACCTGAGCCAAGTGCCTTGTCCGAGGCATCTCCAGGGAAGTCGTGGAGTGTTGAAGGATGGAGTGACAGCCCCCCTCAGCTGGCCACAGCTGATGCCTGGCACAGAAGGAATGCACAGTCTCCCCTCGGTGGCTTGAGGAAAACCCTGGTAAGGACAAAGGAGTTGCACTTCTGACATACGATGCCAGTTCCAAGCAAAATCTTGTACAGAAGCAACTGGGCACCTCACTGCATTATGTGTTTGCACATTAGTTGGAACACAGCCTTTTTCCTGAGTTTACATTCCTTAAATTATTGTCTTCAGTCAAAGCAGCTCTTTCAAACCCTCTCAACACTCACATGCTTTTAGCAACATGCTGCACCCACGGTCTGCTCTGCTGTGCCATGTGATAGAAGTGCTGAGAAAATCTAGTCAGCCAACTTAAAACTGGCTTTTTTTATCAGAGCCCTTGGGCAAATGATGGTCACAAGGAATTCACCTCAGATGTTTTCCTCAAGACTAAATCCAGTAGAGTGTTTACTTACCAGGTTCTGTGGGCTCTAAGTTTACACACAAGATCTTTTGTGAAGGCTGCATATAAAAAAACCCAAACAAACAAAAAAAACAACAAACAAATTTGGTCAAATGCAGAGCACCAGAACAGTTTATGCGTCAGGCCTGATCCATCATCTTTACAACTCAGTTGCTGTCGTGATTGCTTAGGCTGGTAATTAAGAAAAGCAAGTAAAGCAAACTGGATAGCATTCCATACACCACACAAATCCTGAGTATTAAAAGGTGTGGTGACTTGTCATTTGCAAAATGGGAAACAGAGCAAGCATTTCATCAGAAAGCCCATGCTTTAAATCCTTGTGAGCAAACTAGGGCAGATCTAGAGACCCCATCCCAGGTTTCTCCAAGCCAGTGTTTACACAGGAGCTGTTTATTCCTTTCTATCCCTGCAGAGGAGATGTGTGCTGACCATGGCACAGCTTTATGGTTTGGCTGTGTTCCTCCAGAACTGCTGAGTGTCATACACCTCTGGGTTTTTCCAGCAATGTGTTGCTAAACAATCATCCTTTGTATTGTGCCACTAAATGTGTTTGTGGCCAGCTTTTGTGCTGTTTGGTGTGCATCAGTGCCAAAAATCCTTGCAAAAATCTGCTATCTTGGTGCCTGTTTCAAGATGTCAGGGAGATGGAGCCAGCCAGGCTCAGCACCCTCAGAGGGGCTTGAGGGGGGCATCAGCACAGGTCTGCCTGGTTTGGGATGTAGGATTAGGAAAAAGGGCTTGTTTTCCCCTATAGCAAAGAGTGAATAGGGTACATATGAGCCAGGAAGTTTTTTCCTCTATGGTTTGCAGCCTGAAGCCTGAACCTCCTTCTGCTAAGGAGACTTAAAGCAAGATGAGTAAAGCCATCCATAACTTTTTAAATTCTCCTTTGTTTACTGAAATGCAAAAGAAAAAAACCAAAAAACACAATCACATAATTCAGCTGGGCAAGGCAAGAGCTGGTAAAAGCATGACCAAATACTGGGGAAGCTGCTTATGAGGGACCTGCTTTTGCACAGATTATTGAGATTTTGCTGAGGAAAAATAAAATTGTGATTCATAAAAGGTATCCAGGGCAGTTTGGAGAGGATGAAATTGGAAGATGAAGATGAGAAGCTGTGGGGGAGCAGATATAGGTTAGGAAAGGGGCTCTGCGCGGGAGCTTCTCGTGGCCCTCCCTGGGGGGGTTCCTTGGCGCCATTTTACCTCACGAAGGATGGGGCCGCCTCAAGCGCCCCCGCCGCCATCTTAGGGGGCTGTGAGGGGAGCCCCGCGTGCTGGGGGGCTCCAGGACACCCCCGGCATCCAGCCCTCACCAGCACCTCAGAAACCCACCCAAACCTCCAGAAATCACCCCAGTGCTCCCTGCCCACCCCTCCAGGTGTTTTTATGGCTAACACCTGTGAGTAATTGGGGTTAACGAGGGACAGCAGGGCTCGGGGGGCAGCCTGAGGGGAGCCCCCACCTGAGGCGCAGCAGGAGGACGCACACCTCAGCCTGATTCTGTGGAGAAAAGGTAGGTAAATTTGTATTTTTATGCCTTTTTTGTCTCTCATGGGACAGCATGACCAGCTGTGGAGCAGCTGGGTCAGGGTTGAAGGTGGAAAACACTAAAATTGTTGGAAAGTAGGTGCTTTGGTGTTGCGTTTCCACAGGCGTGTCCAAAAGGAGGGAGGGCTCTGGGCATGTGGGGATGTGAGGGGGTCTCAGCCTGGCAGAACTTGCCCTCATCCCTTGGCTCCTGTCCAGAGGAGCAGACAGGACAGATACAGAGTTTGTACTTGTCTGATCCAAAGGATATCCCACTCCAGTAGCATTGAGTTTTGTGTTGCCCAGACCTCCATCATACCACAGGAAAGGGGAATTGCGTGCTTACCATTTCCTATGTGCTGCCCCAAAATAGGGCAGTTATGAGGTAATGCAGTGTAAAGTTTGAGGGTGACTTTCTGAAAATGAGTGATAAAGTTTCTTTTGGTTAGTAAATGTTGAAACTGGGTCTGAGGGAACAGAAGGGGAGGAAACAAGGGAAAAACACGACTGTCACCTCTTGCAGACCTGGTCACCTTGTTGCTTTGTGCAATCAATGTCAGTTAATTTCATATTTGTTTTGTTTGAAGAAATTGTCATGCACTGCTTTGTTTGTAAATTCTGTGGGAAGCGACCCTGCTGGTTTCCCACGCCCCACCTCAACCTGGACTGCCCCTCAGCTTCCCGAGCACACGCTTAGCCACACACCATTTCTGGGTGCACAGTGTCCTCCCACTGCCTTCTGAGGCTGTGACAATCAGTGTCACATGCAGGCTCCTGTAGGCACAGAGTCACTCAAATGGCCTATTTCTGTCAAGTGAAGTTAATGTGAACTGCTCAGGGAGAAGTTATTTTTTGAGAAGACAAAGCTGCTGGTCTGTCTTAGCCCTCACTGCTCTTCTAGGTCTTGCATGAGATTTTAACTCCTGTCCTATCTACCATTTCTGAACTCATCTTTTTTTTTTTTTAAATTAGTTATTTGTTCTCCTCTACCTAAATGTGAGGTGAAAACATACATCAATTAATCTGTATTGATAGAATCATTTAGATTAGAAGAGACCCTTAAGATCAAGTGCAGCTGTTAACTTAACACCACTAAATCCACCCCTGTGTCCCCAAGTGTCCCTCCACTTCTTTGAAATACCTGCAGGCATGGTGGCTCCACCACTTCCCTGGGCAGCTGTTCCACTGCAGACATTTTTCCTCATGCCCAACTAAATCTCCATGTTATAACACAAAGCCTCACAGCTGCTTCTCAGGGAGTTTGGAGGCCCGATTTCCCTTGCCGTGATGCTGTAAGGAAATACAATGGTGACTGTACACTATGGAGGATTTAAATTTTTAAACAAACAAACAAAACCAAAAACCACACACACCGAAAACAAACAAACAAACAAACCCACCAAAATCTGTGTCCTTAGGCCATGCTGTGGTGATTCCTGCTCCCTGCTTTCCCATTCACTGTGACCCTCCGACTGCAGCAGGGCACAGTGTTTTGGCTTTGCCAATCGCTCCAGCAGGAGAGAAAGTGTTGTCACCACTCCAGGAGCCAGCCAGGGCACCCTAGATTTCTTGGTGTCACTTAAAGGAAAAGGATTATTTATAGCTCTGGGACACAGGAGAACAAAACTCAACTGGCAGGAAGTGCTGGCAAAGGGATGCTTCCTTCCTACCCTTTCTCCTGTTTTGTGGGCTCCTTAGTGGTAACTGCCAGTGCTAAAAAGCAGGATAAGCCTAATTAATTCTTGTGGAAAGTCCAGGAGGGGGGGTAGCCCCCTTGAGGGCACTGTTTGTACCCTGAGCACAGCAGTCAGGAACACTTGGGGCCAGCCTAGGTGGCCATCAGGACTGCCAGCTTAAGGGCAAAAAATATGAGATTAGCTTTATTCTTGTCAGTTCTGAGACACAGACCTCACCTGACCAGGGCAGCCAGGAGCAGACACGCAGAGAGCAGCTGTAAGCTCCCCTGTGCCTCAGCTACATAAGGGCCTTGTACCTTTTCAGTGCTGTACACTTCACTTAGCTACCTGCAGCCAGGTAACATGGCAGATTTGGGGAACAAGACAAAAAACATTCTCTTTTCCCCAGCTCTCCGCTCCAAATACCCTGCAAAATAAAACAATTTCAAGACTTACTTGACAAGGCAAAGCATCAGCAAGACTTCCTTCATCCTTTTCCTAGTAAACGCATCCCAGCCTCTAAAAACTAACCTCCTATCCCATAAATAATGCAATAGATGCAGGACAGAAATTAAAAACACCATTATCCATGCCCATCCTGCAACACAGCCAGGCTCCTGCCATCTCCCATGGGGATGCCCAGCTCTGGGCAGCTACTGCAGTACAGATCAGGACAATGTTGCTGATATGAAGGCAACAGCCTTGCAGCCTGTCAGCCTTTCCATTAAAAGCCTGGAATGGCTCAGATCCTCCATGGTGTGGTATTGCCCCTACCCAAGCAGCTGGCCCAACTGCTCAGCTGTTGAAGGAGTAGCAAATGCAGCCCTGCTGATGGATTAACCAGCAGGGATCACATTCCAGCAACATTTGGCTAAGGAAGGCCTCAGCTGTGCAGGCCATTGACCGAGCTGCACCAGGGCAGCACTGTCAGTCACAGAGCCAGCTCCCAGTTCCCCACAGCACACAGGACTTCTTTACCTTCCATCAGGTCCTCCAATGCCACATCAGTCCCAGCTCCAGCCCTCTCCTGGGTCGGCATGGTTAGCAGGATGCTGGGAAAGAGCAGTAGCAGACACACTCCAAGGCATTGCATGAGCAGAGAGGTTGTAAGCACAAGAGACTCTTCACTAAGCTTGTTTGTTCATCTGCCTAACTGCAATTATTTGTGTTTGGTGCACTCAGGATTTAATACCTGCGGTAGCCTAGTTCAGTACAGCCCTTAAGCTGCACCTGGGCCTTAGCAGTCAGGCATTGTAGACACTGACCCACAGGCTGCCACATGGCCTGTCACCCATTCCAGGTATGTTGGTCAGCCCGACTTCATGGTACCTGATACCGGGTCTCTGTGTCAAGACCTCAGTTTGTGAGTCAGCACACACAGCCTGATCCTCTCATGACCTCCCTCCTAAGCTTTCTGTCAGGCTTCACCTTGCACTCCACATATTTTTCCTGGCAAGAGCAGTCAGCCTGACCCACCTGCTCTTTGCTGCTTCTCAGGTACACCTGTGCCAGCCTGCAATGCACCCAAGTGCTGAGCGTGGGTCTTGGAAAGCAAAGCTATTTGCAAGAGCACAAGCCATGCCTCGTGTTCCCTGTCAGTCCCCCATCCCCAGCAAGGACATGGGGAGCAGCTTTCCTTGGTCAGACATAGCACAATGAACACCGCACATACTCCTGTTTGAACCTTCCTGGCTGGACTAGTTTCAGATTTTAGAAACCAGACAGGGACCACTTACTGCAGCCAACAAGGTGAAGGGAGCAACTACTGCTAAGGCAGCTTTACTCACAGTCAGTCATGCTTTGCCTGGCTTGTGTCTAAATCAGTACCGCCTGCAAATCCACAGTGTAAGGAGGCACGAGGTTGGATACATATCCCCTCCTTGCCCACCCCTGTAGCACACACAGGAGCAAGCAGATTAGAGCAGGAAACAGCAGAGGAAGCAGCCATTGCAAGTTTGGGTTTATTTCACTATGCATGGGGGCAGAAAACAAAACAAACCAAGCTATAGCTGTTAGCTGAACTTAATGGCTTTGACTTTGAAGTCACCCTCCACAGCCAGGTATTCAATTTTCTCCATGCCCAGCCGATTAGGGAACTTAAACTCCGCCTCAGGCAGCTTCACCGTGGCCTCAGTTTGATCGAAGGAGATGCACATCTGTAGAGAGTCACAAGGAAAAAGGTTAACACCTCACAGCTCCCAGGCCTCTCGCACTCCCCACTACTCCAGCCTGGGTGTGGGACAGGCGAGGTGGCTGCTGGTGCAAGGCCATGCTCATGAGCTCAGCACAGGCAGGGAGGGCAAAAAGGGGGTTTGCTCTGCCCCAAGGTCAGATCCAAGTTTCTGCAGCTCCAGGATAAGACAGACCCAGTCTCAGGGCAGTGTTTTAACTGCTCCAAGTTGTGTGGCTTGCAAAGGAAGGCCAGACTGGGGCACTTAACACATCTGAGCTGTGGCACATTGACTTGACAGCTCATTGGCTTTAGCTGCAAGAATCTTCCCCTGCTGCTGATTCCCTTTCCATGCCTGCTCCTTCTGCTGCACAGAGGCACAGGCAGCATTAAAGAGCTGTGCTCTTGGCCCTTCAGTGCTCAGTACCAGGGCCTTGTGTACCCTGGGGCCTCACCTCAATCTTGTCACCATGCTGGAAGGGAAAGTCAGCTTTCCTGTCCTCCTCACCCCATGTACCATCCTGCTTGGAATTGCACACAATGGTGTTGATGTCCCCATGACAGTCGAAGCGAGGGTTGAAATGCAGCATGAGGGTGTTGCCGTCCTTCCCAACATTCACAGCAAACCTGGGGAAACAGTCAGTGCCAAGGAAGTGCCTGTGCAGCAGGTCCAGCTACCCAGTGCTGGCAAGCTGAACAGAGCAGGAGCTCTGGCTTCCCTCAGTGCCACATCAGCTCATTCACCATTATCCTCCTCACTCACCCTTTGGCATCAGACTTGATCTTCCCTTTGACCTTGATGCACTCACCAGGCTCGATGTCCAGCTGAGTAACAACCAGTCCCTGCAGGGCCAAACCACAGGGGTTAGTCTGTCCCTGGGCAAGGCTTCCAGTCCTGCTTGGGCCAGGGCACAAAGCAGCTCTGGCAGACCCAGACACAAGTCCTGTGCTAGAGGAAGGGTTCAGTCAGGCCAGCTGCTTGTCCCTGCTGCCACAGGGATCTCCCACTCCCCTAAGCAGACACAGAGCTGTGGTGGGTTGAGCCTGGCTACATGCCAGGTACCCACCAAAGCCATTCTATCATGCCCCTCCACAACAAAAGCTTCATGAGTTGAAATAAGAACAGGGAGAGGTCACTCACTGATTACTGTCACAGGCAAAACGGATTCAACTTGCAGAAATTAATTGAATTTATTACCAATCAAAATCAGAGCAGGATAATAACAAGTAAAACAAACCGTAAGAACACATACCCCTTACCCTTCCCTCCCTTCCCAAGCTCTATCTCCTCTGCCTGCCAGAGGCACAGGGAGATAGGGAATGGGGGTTACAGTCAGTTCACTGTAGGTTGTTTTCTGTCACTGCTCAGGGAGATAAGTCCTTCCCCTCCCACAAGCAGCAGTTCTCCACGAGCTTTTCCAACGTGAGTCCTTCCCATAGACTACAGTTCTTCACAAACAGCTCCATTCCACTGGTTTACAGTCTTCTTTCAGGCATCCACCTGCTCCAGCTTGGCCACAGACCTCCATGGGCTGCAAGGCACAGCTGCCTTACCATGGTCTTCAGTGCAGACTGCAAGGGAACCTCAGCTCTTATTCCTGGAGCACCTCTCCCCTTCCTTCTTCACTGACCTGGGTGTCTGCAGGGCTATTCCTCTCATATTCTCACTCCTCTCTTCCCAGAGTGCAATTCCTTCTGTGCAATACCTTTTGTTCCTTCTGAAGTGTGTTATCGTGGAGGCATCACTGCCACCTCCGATGGGCTCAGCCTTGGCCAGGGGTAGGTCCATCCTGGAGCCAGCTGGCATTGGCTCTGCCGGCCATGGGGGAAGCTTCTGGAAGCTGCTCACAGGAGCCACCCCTATAGCCCCCCCCACTACCCAAACGTGGCCATGCAAACCCAAGGCAGGAGGGGATTCAAGAGCAGGGTACAGGCGCTGCTTTACCAGCTGCTACAGGAGCAATGTTGCTGAGTTCTACTTACCCACGTCAGCTCATGCAGGGAGACCAACTGCAAACGAGCTGCCTTGGGCACTGCCACCCAGCCCCAGCTGTCCTTTCCCTCCCGCTGTGCCCACGCCCAGACTGCCGAGGTCAGGTTCCCCCGAGGCACTAAACCACTTATCTCCCCGGCACTAATTCTGCCTTCTGGCTCTGCTTCTAAGGCAGCGCCCAGGGGGTGCTTTCAACGAAAGCAAAGCTGGGGGAGGGCAGAGGTGGGTTAGAATACACTGCCAGCCTGCTTTCCTCTCCTGTTACAATAGGAGTTAACCCAGCCCTGTACCCAAAAGACATTTTGCCAGAAGGAAAATGCAACGTTTAAGGAGAAAAGAAAGAAAAGCATAAAGGGTATTCAAACTGTAGAGTTACAAATGGACCCAAATCTTTAGATTACTTGATGATATAAACATTCCTCAGCTTTCCCACTTATAACACGCTAGAGGAGGAGAGGAAAACCGGCTGGTCAGCCCTCCTCCCACAGTCACGTATCAGCCTCACATATCCTCTCAGCTCATTCTTTTCTCCTCCTACCTCTGGCACCAAGCCCAAAGCTCATACACAGCACAGCCCTAGTCCTGCTTGTCACACCAGCCAAAAAAGGCACTCACTTGCTCCATGATGCAGACACCAGCCCCACCAGGCAGGACAACCCCAAGCCCCTTCTCCACAACCCAGAAAAAGCAAGTGCGCAGCTCCAGCAGCTTAAATCCCTCGGGCAGGAGTATCACATGATTGGAGTGGGCGGGGCGAAGGTGGTGATCGATTGCAGCTGTTCGGGGATGGAGCTTCCCAGCCATTTAAAGGGGACAGCAGGAGATCTGTAGCAATACTGTTCTTTGCAGGCAGTAAGTGTATGATTTTAAGAGCTGAGTGGTTGTTTGCTTCTGCGTGATCCAGTCCAGGTTTTTCCCCATTCTGTACTCCGGCAGAAATCCAATCTGGGTTTGCCCCCATTCCGTACTCCGGGAAAAATCCAGTCCGGGTTTTCCCCCATTCCGTACTCCGGGAAAAATCCAGTCCGGGTTTTCCCCCATTCCGTACTCCGGGAAAAATCCAGTCCGGGTTTTCCCCCATTCCGTACTCCGGCAGAAATCCAGTCCGGGTTTTCCCCCATTCCGTACTCCGGGAAAAATCCAGTCCGGGTTTTTCCCCATTCCGTACTCCGGCAGAAATCCAGTCCGGGTTTTCCCCCATTCCGTACTCCGGCAGAAAAATCCAGTCCGGGTTTTCCCCCATTCCCTACTATGTGACCAATATGTCTGTCCTTGAACAGGCAGCAGTCACGAGCATTGAGGCCGTGCTGCTGAGAACACAGCTGTGCTGGGCAGGGCATGTCTCTAGGATGCAGGACCTCCCTAAGATTGTGCTCTATGGGGAACTTGGAAGAGGAGATACAAGGACTGCCTGAAACAATCCCTCAGCCTTGGCCATATTTGATCCTAGAAGTTCTTGCTGTAAGCTCTCCTAGCTGCTATGCAGTGTCTCTTGGCTCCTAATCCCAGCAGCCAGAGTGCGGCTCTGTGATAGCAGCAAGGTGCTTTTGTTAAGTGACCTCTGTCTAAAATCAGGGTTGGAGTCCTCATGTTACTGCTGCAAAGCGAGCACCTCTGTGGATATGTGTTCTCCCAGCCCAGCCCCGTGCCTGCAAGCCCTGGACTGACAGGAGCCCCTGAGTACAAATCATCACTGCCTGCAGTTCAATGAAACCCAAGGGTTTGGTATACTCTATGTCAGCATTTAAAAAATGCCTGACAGTTCAGGTTGGAGGTGAGGGGCTCTAGCAGATGTAAGAATTCGGGC